CTTAGGCAATCCTAAGGACTTAAATGTACCTTATTTAATGTTATTAAATAACTGGTTGCTAAAAGGAGTATAATAAGAAGTGAGAAGGAAATGGAAAGCATTATGTAGCGATTAGTATTCAAAAATATTTTTCAGCTATGTTAGAAGTAAATTGTGTGTGCTAGATAGATCCTTTTAAGGTGTAAGTCAGGAAAAGATAAAAAGATGCAGAGAAGATGCATGTTGTATAGATTTTCACATTTTTTTTTACAAATGAAGGCTGATTAAATTCTAGATCCAGTAATTTTAGTTCAGCTATTTTTAATAGAAGTAGGTATTACTACAACTTGTGTCAGATGGCGGTATTCATGTAAAATGGCAACTCTATTTTCCTCAAGTCTAGGAACCTTCATATTTCGTACAAAATTCTTTGAAAAATACAAACTCTCTCTTATAAAAGGGGAAAGCACTTATGAGAGTCTAATTTGAAAATACTGGACAAATATAGTTTCAGGCAAAGTGGTATTCTTGGATAGCTAAAATAAGTTGTTTGTATCATGCTTCTGTTCTAAAAGAACATAAGAATTTGCTAGGCAAAAGGCCCATCTAGTCACCTTCCACCATCCTGTTAGTCGCTTGACATATTGTATCCTGAGGTATTATTTTCTAACAGAAATCTATCTAATTCGTTCTTGAAACAAACAACACGTTCTGCTTCCGCAGTCTACAATTGGATTCACTTGTTTTATATGCTTATGTAGCATAATTTATTAGAATACAAAATGTTTGCATTCATGGTACACAAAGGGATGAAAATAAAATACACAATCTATTAGGTTATCGACCGCCGCGTGATTCGTTGGCAAAACAAGGGGTGGGGGGCGGTCCTGGTGCAAGAATAGGTTAGGGGTTCACTTCTCAATTTCAAAATCTAAAATTTTGTTTACAACATCAAAATTACATTTGTAAAGCGCCTTTCACGTCGGGAGGACATCCCAAGGCGCTGGACCTACAGAGTTACAACATGCTGAGGGTCGGGGTGGGGGAGGGGTAAGGCAGGGGGGGGAAGCAGGGAGATCGAAAACACGGTCAAAGAGAAGGCTCTTGAGATGGGAATTGAAGGTAGGGAGGGAGCGAGACAGAGGTACTGTGGGATGGAGTTCCAGAGGGTGGGTGCGGAGTGGCGGAAAGGCCCGCCCGCTGATAGTTGGGTTAGCAAGGCGGGGGAACGTGAAGCAGGCCGGAGCCCGTTGAGCAGAGGGAGCGAACAGGGTGATAAGGAGGAGCAAGACCGTGGAGGGCTTTGAAGGTGAGGACCAAGATCTTGAACAGTATCTTCTGTGTGATGGGAAGCCAGTGGAGTTGTGCAAGGATGGGGGTGATAGGGTCGCGGAGCCTAGTACGGGAGAGGTCACGGGCTGCAGAGTTCTGGATGATCTGCAGCCTGTGGAGGTTTACCATTACCATGTTGGAAAATCAGAACAGATAAAGTGTTTGTGAGAATGAGTGGGTTTAAAGTTGGACGCACAAAGAGTACCCATTCTCAGCGATAAGAGATTACAGACCCTACACCAAGCAAACCAATGGCCTCCAGGACTCACAGCTCAGAGAAACTGAGGCTCTGGGACCTTCAAACAGCTCAGGCTGAGATCTTTCTGAGGCCATGAAACAAGCTCAGATCCAAGACTCATGAACATTAGGTCTGTGACCCCGGCTTCTGAAGCCTGAGTGTCACACCTGACCTTTCCAGCCAACACAACAGAAGATAGGTCAATCAGTCGTAGACTCCAGCACTCCCGCCTCTCCCCCTCCCCCCCAACCCAGATCATTTGCAGACCTCAGGACTCCCCTCTTGCTCATCTGCCGATCCCAGGACCACAATCCCGATTATCTGCAGGACATTCTCTTCCCACCTCGCCAGCCAAAATTCACTGGCCATAGGTGGTGTAGGAATAAAAATAAAAACAAAGAGTGATTTGATTTCTTTTTACATTAAGACTGCTTGCTGTGAAGAATGGTATTCACCCTCAGGTTAGTAAATAGGTAGGCTGATGGTAGTCTACAGTGTTTCAATACTCCTCTCACACTCGCTCCCTCACACTCTCCAATTGGTTGGGCCCCTAACCTTGTGGGCCCTGGTACCACTGCCCCAGTTATGCCAATAGTGTGATTTTAAAACTCTGCCTGCGTCAATTGAAATGGATGAGAGTGAAAGCATTCTATTTGTAATGTAGATAAAATCAAATCAAATATTGCCAGCAATGCATATATAGGATATCAACAACAACAAATCGCATTTACATTGAGCCTTTCACGTCAAGAGGGTGTTATAATACAAATTTTGTTCTTAATATTTTCAAGAATTTTACTTGATTGTAATCCTTCAAAATAATTGGAATTTTAAAAATCAATAGTTCATCTCGAGTAAATAGTCTTTTTATATAATGACCTTTCATACTTTTTAAACGTATCCCTTAATGACATTTTTGAATAAGGGATCTGCTTCTTTCATTCAAAACGGAAGTCAGTGAAAATATTGGATGTTGCTGTCCCCAATGTCAAAGGGAAATACCAATTGAATGTTATAGAAAAGCTGACAAACGGATTTAAAAACGTTATAGTACACTAAAACTCATATTAAATAAATCTGAATTACAAGAAATAAAGCAAAATAACATATTTGTTGCAATGGAATGGTAACATTTTTTTCAAATAGCTATGTGCCAAACCATGAATGAATTTCAGGAAAAAGAAGTTGAAGGTGACCTCTCTACCCTCCTTTTTGTGTTAAGAAATACTTTTCAATACTTTACTTGAACAAGTTTCACAACATTTTGGCTTTAACATTTTTTACCATGAGAACATAATATTTCCTCAGATCTGTATTGGAACTTTTTTGTTCTGTAACTGTGTAACAGAGGTATGAACAATATCTTACAAATCATAGTTACCTATTTTGTGAACATAAAGTCGGTTTTAGGTACAAAGTACAGGCAATCCACAGGAATGCACAACTGTTAACCTGGTTCGGTTTGAAGCACTCTTTCCTCTGAGTGACTGGATTCAAGTCCCATGTTGGGACTTTGAGCTCATAGTCCAGGCTGACACTGCAATGCAGTGCTGGGGAGCGTTGCAGCAGCAACAACAACAAAATTACATTAGTAAAGTGCCTTTCACGTTGGGAGGACATCCCAAGGCACTGTCAGTGTTGCATTGTCAATACTGCTGTCCTTCAGATGAGAAATTAAACTGAGGTTCCATTTGCCTGTTCAGGTTAACACTAAAGATCTCATGGCACTATTCGAAAAGAGAAGGGAGTTTCTCTTGATGTCCTTGTCAACAATCTCCCAGATAAAATTGGTCATTAACTTCATGGCTCTTTGTGGGACATTGCTGGGTGCAAATTGGCTGTCAGTTTTGCCTACAAATACACAGTCACTTCACTTTATAGCAATTCCTGTGAAGTGCATGGAGGTATCTCGATGACATAATGAGGCACTACATCAAATGCAAGGATTATTATTACCCTGAATTTACTGCATGTAAGAGGCTATGTTCTAGGCTAGATTTCTTCACAGCATAGCAGTACATGGTCCAAAGCTCAAGGCAGGTGACTGTTGGTTAAGATGTACACATCTGAAAGTTTAAAATAAATAAGAGTTCCCCTTTAAGAAAAGTAGACATAGATGGAAAGGCATTGCTGCCATAAATTGAATAATACACTACAAGGCCATATTTGGCAATAAATAGATGTAGGATTTATCATCCATCTTATTTAAAATTCAGAAATGTTAAAGGTATTCTCTCTCTTATTATAGAAATAATGGAATTCTACCTATTACAGACTTATGGTAATTTAAAATATTGAGAAAATGCAATATATCAACAAATAGAATATCTCTATAAAATGTCTTCCTGCTGATGTATAACTTAATACGTTTTGCAAAGGAATCAAGTAATCGTTTTGTAAGCCTTCATTTTGCAGCTGGCTTATGTGGATTGAGAGTTAGTTACCAGGATAATTCTTTGCACACTGCAGCCAATAATCCAAATACATACCACTGATTGAGCTTCCTTGCTTCAGTCCTATCATATAAAACATTGTGTAATCTATTAATTTTATTTTACATAAACATCGTGCATGTGCATTGAATTTGGTGATTGTTTCACTCTCAGTGCTGATACTCAGTTCATTTCTCGTCCGGTGACCTTAACTGAATGATGATTGAAGTGTTGCACTTTAACGTTGCAATCCAATCATGATTGTGCTTGTAGATTATTTTTGTTACAAAACCTAGTGTAACTTGATTTTCAAAGGTATCTGCATAATTTTTTTTCTCTAGGTTTACCTTACTACAATGAGGCAGCTTTTATTTCTAAGAACAAATTGACTGCGTCTTTTGTTTCGAGAAATAAATACTTATAGTTGTCTCAAAAATGTGGCAATTTCAAGGAATCCATTTTAAGGGATATTTGGAAGAAATGCAACAATTAAACTTTTTTATTCAATTAGCAATAATCATTTGACTACTCCAATCGAGTTACAATTCAACCAAGTGAAATAAACACAATGCACGCCTTTGAATTTTTGTTTAACGGTTGACAGCTGAATACAGCATTCTAAAACTCGCAGAAAGACTGGCAGAGATAATTTCTCTCCCCGTATGGAATCACTAGCCAATCATGATAAGTGCCGGTCTTTCTTTTATTTCTGAGAAATAAGTTATTCTGGATTTAACAGAATAAAGTTGTTGTTGAGAAACTTTTCAAAGAACTCTCTTTAAATACTCGCATTCTGATTCATTTGCTGGAGCAATAAAATATTTATCAATTAAATTAGTATGCCTCTGTTGGCTTGATTAACCCTGCAACAGGCCCAATACAATTGTCTTCTTTATTTGGTGAGTTGGCATCATGTATTTTCAGAAGCGTTCATTTTTATTATGCCAAATTGTTTTAAGCATAAGGGACTGAATTATACAAGATTTTAATTGTCACTAATTTTAATTATTTGCCTTTAGTCACTGTGCTCTGAAATTAAACAACGACGGCGTGGGATAATATCCGTACTGCGTTTATGCCAACGTCTCCTTGATGACACAGATGCCTGCTGTTTGGATGCTGATCGTCAGTCAATGCAACTTATTATTGTGAACCTGGAAAGAAGATGGGAAGCGATTATCATGCAAGCAGTGCAATGGCAGAACAGACTGCAAAGGCAACTAGGGAAAGAAAAGGTAATAATTCACTGCATAACAACAGAATGTAACAAATACAACCAAGGTTTGTTTTCCTTCCTTCCCTCACCAAAATTATTCATATATGACCTTTGCAGCTGTTGGGGAAAGTATGTGCGTGTGCGTGTACATGTGCGGGGGGAGGCATTGCACCCGGGCCAAATCTTTTTCTCACCTAATAACCACATACACCAATCGACCGTCCAGCAGTGGTCACTGGATAGCAATCGGGACCTGAAGTCCTGGCCAATTTTTCACTCATTGAAACCAGTTGTAGATATGACTTATTTTTAAAATCATGGCTTCTAGTTCTGCTATAAAGATCAAACTCAAATGGCAAGCTTACATGTTCAATATAAATTCTAAAATAAATAGTAATAGAAATAAATTAAAATGGAAATAAGTAGAAATTATCAATGATTCTTAAAAAAAGTCTTCCAATCCTTTATTCCTATGAGACCAGGTTCATTTCTATGAGATTCACCTCATAAAAGAGCTTTGAGATGTCACCAAACCCCACTTCTCCATTCAGAGCAGCTTTCGGGAACTTGCATTTCATTTATACCGTCCACACCCGCTGCTGAATGATTAACCTGGTGGTACAGCACAACCTGTCAATTCCTCCCAACAGATGGGTCATTAAGGCCTTCTACCTGCTTAACACATTCCAGTGGTTTTACTAGTTTCTGTGTAGGCTATTGGGTCAGATGCCAACAAGCATTATGCTCTCTTCAGACCCTGAGGATATCTTTAAGGGTCTTTTCAAGGGCATTGCTACTTGTCCATGTTACCAGACCCCATTGTCTTTCTTTTCATACATTAAAACATTCACCATTACTGAAGAAGAGCCAGAACAGTTTCCAGCAGTATCATCAGACAATCAATACAGTTATTTGCAGTACAATGTTTTTGTTGCGAATTGCATTATCATCTGTCTTTTTGACAAACAAATAAAAAATACGTTTTTGAAACACACATATCTTTTGTTCAGACATCTTTAAAAGATGTAACCAGCATATTCAGACATTTTATTCAAAATGAGTTTAGGACCAGGTTTACCTTTTTGTGTTTGAAAACACCTGTGTACAGACACATCAATGTGAAATCATATCTGTGATCTTGAGTTTACCCATTGGAAATTTTGACGAGGCTGAATAGCCTATTACCACAATTAGAGACAACAGTATTTTCTAAGGTGCTGCTATCTAAAGTCATTTTAGTCATTTCAATTTAACTTCTATTTTTCAAAGGACAAATATGTGGATGCTTGATGATAACTTTTAGACAATCACAATTCCAAATAATATCACTGCTTTGATCTGTTTTGCAGTAGGTCTGTTTAAACAATTAATTTCTAAACACTTCAAACTTCTAACATTTGGTAGAACATATAGGTGTGCAAAACAATTATTACAGTATCATTTTTCATATTTTCTTACTGCAATCTTTTCCTTTGCTCTTTAAAACATACTGCTTATGTAAATAGCTGTAGTAGTTACATTATTTATTGCTTGTTTCCCACAGAATGCAAGGTCAGCAGGAACATTATAGAAAAAAAGTAATGTTTTATTTGATTAAACTGATTGATTGAACTAACAGTTGTGCCTTTTATCATGCAGTAACAAACTAAGTTAGTCATTAGTGTTTTCCTTATCAGCATGCAGATAATAAAACTCAATCTAATAAAAATTCATTAAGGTAGATGTAGAACATACCTAAGCAATTGTTAAATTCGCTATTATATTAGATTTACAGCCATCACACGGTCATTATGAGTGGACTTTTTTGTTGTGAATAAACTGAAAAATCAAATAAACCATTTAACTACTTCCCTAACCATTCTTTCTGAAAGACTAGATTTTTGTTGTATTTTCCAGAATGAAAATAAGTTGGTATTAATATTAATCCTGAATGTTAACTTGGTAACTTATTTTATTATAGACACATATTGTATTGCGTAACAAAATATGTTATTTTGCTTTTCAATTTATTCAACTGTCTTTTTTTCCAACCAGTTTCATTTTAATCATGCTTAAAGTGAGTCAGTCAGGATTGCAGAGATGTTTGATTCTTTTTGAATATAATGTATTGGGATTTAAATGTTTCTGTTATTAATAGGTCCTTTAATAGTTTTTCCTTTTCCCTCCAGTCCTGTCCCCCCACCACCCCCGGGCATTGACTCCTGTTGTGTTATAGTTCCACAAGTGCTAAGTACTTTTTCATACCTCACCAAGATGTTAATTCTCCTTATGGAAACATAGTAAATGTCAGCAGCCTATGTAGTTATGAAATGTGAGGGAGGAGAAAGAAAGAATACATTTTGATGTTTCAGACAAACAGCATCTGACTAATCATATCCTACAATATCATATAATCTTACAAACACCTGAATGACAAACAGATTTGCGGTGTTTTAAATTCTTTTAAATTAAAATCAAGAAATCATTATAATAATGATAAATTTATAAATCTTTGAGGCTATGATAATTATTGTACACAAATACATCAGATGTTTATATGATTTGAAGCACAAGAGCATTTGTATGCCTTGTAAGCATGGGCATTCCTAAGTTATTTACCTAATCAATCTGATGTGGATATAAACAGATATAATAATCCTTACATTTGATATAGCATCTTATCACATCTTCAAGTCGTCTCAAAGCGCTTCACAGAATAAGTGAATTGATTGTGTATTTTGTGGGTGAAAAGCGGCAGCCAATTGCGCCCAGCAGTGTCCAACAAACAGTCGTGGATTGAGTGACCAAATTGTTGTTATTTTTTATTTATTGATTGTTTTGAAGGGATTATTACCCCCGGAAAAGTGATCTGCCAATCGATTAACAACCAGGTTCCTGCTTACTGCTAGGTAAACAGAGCCTTGGGGAGTAAGAAAACCTGTCCAAGTTTTCATCCTTCCCGAGAATCGAATACAGGTCCTCTTGCTTGAGAGGCGAGTGCTCTAACCGCTAAGCTGCAGGACTCCACTCCATATAGAAAAGGAATACAACAGTTTCATCAACTCTAAATCTGAATTTTTGATATTTTATAGATCTTGTTAAGCTGCATTGAACCGGGTTCAATGGATTTAAACGTCTTTGGTGAAGATTTGCTGGAATGGGATGAGACTGACATGAGTAATAACCTAATTGGTATCCAAGATGAGATACCGGACCTTGCTCGTGAACAAAATAGCACACCACAATTATCACCTGAACCTTTGGAAAGTATTGCTGATGAATTTATGCTAGATCAATATAGCAGTGGCCCTGGTGAATCACTGTATAGTCCTGGTGAAGCTCCTTCCTCTTCAGGTCCACGCTTCTATCAAGCCTACAATCTGCATAGTGTGCAGTTCTATGGAAGAGATCGGATGACATGCTTCAAAAATATCCCAGAGCTCCCCACTTCAAAGTATCCGAACAGTTTAGTAAGGAGTACAAGTAAAGATTCATCATTTTCATCCACCGACTCATTACCAGATCTGTTAGGGGGCTTGACTCCAGTAAAAGAAGACAAACCAACATCGCAGGGGCCTTCTGAGAGTGAGAGTGGAATTGTCAGTGAGGGTGATACAGAAACTGCAACAAACTCTGAAACCTCTCTTCCAAATCAAGTTGATCAATCTCAGATTCGCATTACTACTAAACCACTGCACCCCCTAATAGAATTAAAACATAAGGATTGTCCGATTAGATCATGCATTTGTAAAAGACAGGGTTCTGTTGAAAAAAAGGAAGGAACGAATTCAGCAACAGAACAAAGAACAAAGAATGAAGTTGAATCAACAAAAAATCTTCAGTCACTGTCTATGAATAATGAAGGAAATTTACAGCCCCTTGATATTAATAAAATCACTCCAAAGGGTATTTCAAATGATCTAGAGGCACAATATGATGTATTTACATTTTATGACTATTCTTATCTGCAGGGCCCTGAGCTTGAGTTAACTATGACTATAACTCACTCACCTGAAGAAAAAGCTACAGATGGCAGCATGTCCTCCAAGCCACATTCTGCTGAATATATTTGTAAAAATAAACTATCAGCTCCAGAATCTAAACCAGACTGTAGCAAACCAGAAAGGAGTGCGCCAGCGGTATCGGCAGGCAATCCTAAAACCTATTATAGTAAAGTACCTGATGTCAGAGTATCTCTAGATGTTACAAATGATAAAGAATTTACATTTTTGTCTCAGGGGTCATCAGTGGAATCGTTCTCCATTGCTGGTGATATATTCCAACTTGGACCCAGCAGCTATAAAAATGAATGTCTTCAACGCAGTACTTCCTTAGAGAGCTGGACCATTCCATACAAAGGCACAGAAGAGTTATTCAGTCATCATGGGTCAGGAGATATCAGTATGGGTAGTGATTCCGTAGGAGAGCTAAGTAAGAGGACACTAGATCTTTTGAAACGATTAGAAAACATTCAAACACCAGTAAGTCCGAAAATGAAACGCAGTATTTCTGACATCACACTGCAGAGTAACTCCCAAAAAATGTCGTTCACTGGCCAGCTGTCACTTGATGCTGCATCATCTGTCAATGAAGATTCTGCTGCTTCTCTGACAGAACTAAGCAGCAGTGATGAGCTCTCTTTGTGCTCTGAAGACATAGTTGTTCATAAAAATGAAATTTCAGATTCCAATGCATTGTTCAAAAAACATACCAATCACTCAGTGACTGACGAAGCTGATGTCAATATAAGTATGATTGTCAACGTGTCCTGTACTTCTGCTTGTACAGATGAAGAAGATGATAGTGATTTGCTTTCCAGCTCGACCCTTACACTAACTGAAGAAGAACTGCACATCAAAGATGATGATGACTCTAGCATTGCCACAGATGATGAGATTACTGAAGAAAGTAATAACATCTTAGACGGTAACTATATGAGGAGTGAATTTCATCACTGGCTTAAACCAAACTTTTCTGTCACAAAGGAAAAGAAGAAATTGGACCCAGGTGAAAGAGTTCAGTGCAGGAAAGAGTCAAGTAGTACTGGGTTATCCACTCTTAAACATATTTCGAGTCTTTATCCATTTTTAAACAGTTCTGGATTGTTGCTGCCAGAATGTAAAGAAAAGGCAAAGAGCACCTCACTCTGTCAGAGAGAGAGGCATTTTAAACAAACCAGTATGGCCCCTGTGAAACATTTCTGTACTGACAATTTAAGTGATGATGTAGAGAATGGCAATGTGGCAAAATGTCCACTGAAGGGCAAGAAAGAACTGAAAGTTTTAGACAGCAAAAGACAGCAAAATGAAAAGGAGGAATACACTAGCAAGACCCACAATACAAAATGCTCTAAATTTGAATTCTTTAGTCGTCCAGGGCAACAAAAAACAGACATTTCTACCACCTCGTACATTCCAGCCCAGTTTCCCACACAATCTCCACAAAGGAATGAATGTCATGCATGTTTGGAAGACAATGGGAGTGTGAAGCAAGTTTTACCTTCCTTTGGGTTTGATTCTGATGATGAGATTATTTTCTCAGGAAAGCCTGTAAAATATGATGTTGATGTATCAGATGGGAAAATAGCTCCAACATGTGAAAATAAGCGAAAATGCCAACATGATGACACTAGTGCAGAATTACTGTATAATTGCCATGGTGATGAAAATATTACCAGTGAAGTTTCAGCTGAAAAGTCTGATGCTATGTTGTGCTCATCTCATCATAAATGTGAAAATAAACAGTTGGAAGAAGCTAACAAAGGTGATACCAATATTTGTTCAAGTTGTATCTGCCATTCTGATATTCCTCAGGGTATTGATGGTGAAGAAGACAGTTCCGTTCACAATTTTGTGATGGAGATAATTGATATGGCATCATCAGCCTTGAAAAACATATCGCAGCATGACTCTGACATTACCAGCCCAACATCAGTGGCTCAGATTAAGGAAAAAGTGTTAGAACATTCTCACCGACCTTTGCAGCTACGAAAAGGGGACTTTTATTCTTATTTGTCCATCTCATCACATGACAGTGACTGTGGTGAGGTGAACACTTGTATAGATGAGAAAAGCACCACTCCGCTTCCTTTGGATTTCAGTGATGAGTTCAGGCCAGATAACAATGCTGAGGAAGAAGCCTTTCTCGATGAAGATTTTGAAGAAAAATGTACTGATGATCCATGTGTATTCATTTCTACACTTCAAAAAGAGGCACTTTTAGATCGAGCTCCATATTCTTTGACCAAACCCATATCATTTCCTGACAGGAAACCACTGTCACTGCCAAATGACAGACTGGAAGTAATAGTGCCAAAAGTTATTCATGCAACACCAAATGATCAGAAGATATTGTGTGAAAGAAATCTAATTAAAACAAACAAAATTAGTCATAATATAAAAACACTTTTAGGCATCACTGGTCAAGTAGGTCATAAATCTGAAGACAGTATTGCTCCATCTCTAGAGTGCCATATCGAGACTCCATACATTAATCCTTTGCTGCTTAAAAATCAGATGGACAATATAGAGTGTTCATCAGAGGATGAATCAATTTTTTCTACATGTAAAATTGAAATGCCTGAATCCAACTATACTCAATTAAATATTGAAGAAACTGAAAATCGTAAGTCAGTGAAACAGCCTCATGAAATGAGAAGTAATCTAGTGAAGGACACACAGCCAAATGACAGTCATTTTGAAAAATCTGGAGACAATCTGTTTATTAGCACTAAAATCCAATTCCCACAACATGGATATCCTGAGTATGAAAATTGCCAAGAAACGGAATGTAAAGTGGAAGACAAGCTTTACAAGAAAGAGAATAATGACGATCGCGGGTTTAACTTGTCTCAAGAAGAGGTAGGTTATATATTCTATTGGATCCACCATTTAGAAATTGCTAAACTCTAATTCTCTATTGTGCATCTGTCTTTGCCATAACTAAAATTGAAACAATAGAATTAAGATAATTATTTAAAATTGGAACCACATCAAAGCTTAAATTGGAGAGTGCCTCAAATGAGTCATTTGTTTTTACAATGCATTTATTCTTAATTGTGATTGAATAGAATAAGAAATGGTATAATATTGATATCTGATGATCTAATGCAAGTCATTTATTCTAAATGTAGTTAAGTATTACTTTAAAACACATGCATGTTTTGTTTGTCCAACCAGAATGAATGATTGAATGAAGTTAGCATTTTAATCCCATATTTCATATAAAGGCATAGATATAGCATGAACCTTTGTAAAAATTTAAGATGGCACTTTTGAGAGTTCCTATCTGTCTCTCTCATGTCATCTCTTAAGAGCCGGTCATTTCTAGAATTACTCTCTTAATATTGATGAAGTGCAGATAAGAGTAAAAATTCACACTTACAAAACAATGACATCACCTCAAAAATTCTCGATGAATTTAATGGATTAAGATGCTTCACATTTTGTAGTCTATTAAAAGACTTAAAATGGATTAGCAGTATTGTGTATTTAATAAAAAGATTATGGATATTCCCTGTGAATGCTATGATAGGAAGAAATTTCAAGAATACTGTCAGAGAATACTGGTCATGTGTATAAAGAAGATTTACTATGATGGCTTTTATGATGCTGTATTGCTTAACTAAGTGTTATTGAAATTAAGTTTGTGTTTATGCTTCATTGGTTATTTGGCCATTGGTGGGACCAGAGTAACAAATAGTAATAAACTTTTCTGATTTTCAGATTCCTACCTCTTCAAAATTTATAACGGAGAAACCCAAGAAGGCTAAGAACAGCAGAACCACTGCTGACAACCTTACCGTGTGTCCTTCCCATCATAGCGAATCTCTGCATGACTCTCATGCTGCAAGATCTGTGCCCAAGGTATAGATGTGAGTTGAACAAACATTCTTTCTAAAACTGTGAATATTCAGTTGATTAAAAAATCCTGCACATTTGTCAGATTAGTTCGACATTCTCTAAGGAATCATGCCCTTTGGAAACAAAAATTGTCTCTTTGTACACAGCCAATTTCGCTGTTTTTTCACCATGATCGCAAAAGCCAGATCTAAAAGGGGCAATTTACAAGGTGGCATAATTGGTTTATAATCTATCCAAGGTAAGACTACATTGTTAATATACAAATTTGCAGAATGGATGATTAAATAACTAGTACTGTAAAAAGTTATCACTCTCTTTTGGTGATTGGCTTTTCTTCGATGCAACTGCCTTAGCATTCCGCAGTTTGAAGATAATATGATTTTGAGAAAGGAATGTGCAACTCGGCACTCCCAATTCCTCTTTTCCAACAAGCTGTCTTGAAAAACAAGAATGAATTTGTATGCTGCAGTAAAACAATAAGCCTTTAGTTGTTGTTGCCTTCAAAACTGCCAGTGGACAATGGAAATCCAGCTCATTCTATATTCTGCTTGTATATTAAGTTGGATTTTTTTAAATATAATTCTCTTGTGATGGACTTTTTAAATATCACACATTCCCTTATAAATAGTTGCCCATGGCATAATTAAGCCAAAATATATTTAATACATAGAGTAATCTTTATAAATTACTTCCTGTATAACTTTGTTGCTTTCTGGATTCATTGCTTACAGCTCTTCTTTTTCTTTTACTTTTATATGACATTTTTTTATATAAATGTAGAGGTCAGTAGCAGCAAAGCAAGATCAAAGGCAAAGGTAACTAGCTAGATCCAGATATTTCTGCCTAATTTGGAAGGCGAATAAATGCATGTCTGGAGTGCCTCCTAGAAGCTGTAGAAGAGATGCACTTTGCGTTAATCTCTTCGGCTGTATTCTGACAGTCATTTCTTCATAATCCTCATCACAAACTCCTGCTCTTTGCTGCATGGTTTAATTATCGCAGACTGACTCCTCACTGTGGAAATCAAACCCTATGGCTGGCCAGATGTTATTGCTTTCTTGCTGCCAGATATAGGAAAAACCTGAAGTTTAACATATAAATATATACAGAGTGGATATGAAAGAAATTAATTTTAAAGTGTCTATAATAAATATATTGGGTTGCTACATTTAGGTCACTTACATTATAAATAGTTCTAATGACTTCAGGTTTTTGTAATCATTTGGGGCCCAATGATTGCTGCTTTATGTATCCATTATCATTGGGCTTGCTTCAATCAATGTTGTTTGCATATCGACATATGTAGCTGAGGGTGTTGTATGCATATTGAAGCTCACAGATGAGGATGAAAGCAGGAAGAAAGGTCACACATGACAGTTTACTAACTTCCCTAGTGAAGTTATTATTCAAATTGGTAAAAGCCTGAACAATAATTCAATACTATTGCAATTTATTTTTCCACACACTTTTACCATCATATTTCTTTTCTCAATATAATGTTTTGGGCACAGGCTTATAAATTGCTCAAGCAGTTGTTTACTGGTAATCCTAGAATTCTGCTAAATAATGCCATCATGTTTTTAAAATATTTGTAATATTACCTATATAGAATGCTGAGAAAGTAATGGTTTGTTATTCTGTATTGTCCCTGACTACAACATGAATTTGTATTTCTTTCCCTTCAGAAATCTGGCTGTATCCTTGCTCCATTTTTGTCTACCTATTCCTAAGGTAGCCTCTAATCTTATTCAACCATCCTCTTCCTCACTGATATCCAAGTCCAGCTCTTTCCAAATGCGAGTTTTTCATGCAGGTGTGGTAATCTGGTTGCTTCTGCTGATCCTTTGTATGGCAGTTGCTATTACTCCCTTGTTTGTAATACCATCAGATTGCAGCAAAGTTCGGCTGTTTTCTTCTTCATGGACTCCTGTCCTAAGCTACCTCCAAGGACCCCCTCCATTCTGACCTACAGTTTATTAAATGTCCTGCTTTTTGTGGCAATAGGCATTTTTTGATATCTAAAGGAATATTATAGCATTTGCATTTACAATGATACCAAGGTGTAATTTTATTTCAATTTCTGTAATGGCATTTCATATGAATGCATTTGGAGTATATCAGAGTAATACTTGGAAATTAATGGGGCAATGTGTCAATTCGAAATTAAAAAAATGTTTGTCATGTGCACACACACACACACACACATATGCAAACAAATGACATTGGCCTAGTTGTGTTAACTGTGCTTAATTTGTCAAGCAGAGCCCTGGATTTTATTTAACAATTTATCTTTAATTATTAAAATATGGCAAGTAGCATATTAGTTAAAAGAGAAATCTGAAGTTCATATTGAGTATCAATTATAATATATTGATACAAACATGTAAGCAAAGTTAAAACAATACCAACATAGAATTCATAGATCAAATCTATGCAATACTGAAACTTAAAAAAAGTAATTGAAAAAATTGCTGCATATTGAAATTACAGGCATTTCATTTGGTTCAGTACCGTCATTTTCTTATTTGCTCTATAAAAGGGAAAAAGAAAGAAATGTTTTAACAATGTGTGCCTTGCTGTATTTCTTATACTTTTGTTAAAAAAGCTGCTTTTCCCTAAAGAAGTTGGTTTAAAGATATGGTATAGCAAGGTTAGGCTGTGTGTATAATTTCTGTACATATGTACAAGAAAATGCTAACATTGGTGTATATGATATACAATGCTTTCTTGTTTTGTGTTAACTTGTCCAGTGGTGTAGAAATATTAAGCCTTAAACTGTTAGATTGCATGGGTAAATTAAAGTTGGCAAATAAAAATAATTTATCAGACAATAAAGTGGACTGAGTTATTGGTTTTCAAAGAAACAGTAACATATTTTCTAAAGAAGAGAAATTAACAGTGGTCTTTTTTATTTAAGGCAGAGTTTCATACTTTGTGTTTAAGGGAGAAAATAACATAGATAAGATATTCAATGATATAATTGTTGTGAAACATCAACAGTGTTTGAGATGACACTGTTCCTTTCTCCTTCACCCTAATCAACATATATATTACAGTATTTCTTACACTGCTTTTTAGCACTTAGAGGCACAGCTGTGACATCATAAAAAGGTGGAGATATTCTACAGTTGGAAGTCCCATTAAGTGAACATAACTACTGTAAATCAGCACTAACTGTTCTATATTAGTAAAAAGCATTATGTACATAATTTGAATGTTTAATTTCATAATAATCTTGCAGCGAGTAATTAAGAAAGATTACTAGAAGATTAAATCTGAAGACAAATAACCAAAGATAAATTAAATGTTTTTGAAGCTATTAGTAAAGATTTAATAAAGATATAGAAAAGGAACGATTTCTGGACCTAGGCAGAATAAACGATTAATAAGATTAATAATAAAAATGAACACAATAAATATCCTTGCATTTAACATTAGGTGGATGTCTCAAAGCACTTCATAGGAATTACAGAAAAGTGTAGTGACTGTATATTAAGTAAGCAGATTGGCATAATGTTAAATTATATTAAAAAATTGGGAAAGTTGGGAGGAAAAACTGTAATTGAAATTACAGCTAAAATTAAAAATTCATTCATAAAGGAAATTTTAAAACAACAAATTGAAAAAAGATAGAGAATAGAGAGAAATTGTAATGCTATATTAAAAATTAGGCCTTGAATGGAAGATTAGTTATAGTTTAGGTTATGATGATTATTTGAGGTTATTTGAATTGATTCTTCATAAGGAATTGTGGGATCATTACAGATCCATAACCAAGATGATTTGGGTATTGAAAGAATGTGTAGAGAAGACATTTGATTATTAAGTAAAATTACCTATTTAGAAACTGTTGATTTATTTAAGGCATTACTTAGAATGAGTTGTAATTAAATTTTATTCAGGTTTGTGTGAGAAGTAGGCTTATCTTTGTTCTAAATATTTTTTAATGTTGTAGTTGAGGCCAGGTTCATAATTCCAAATAAGTATAACCAACGTAATGTGCTATATTACGTGCGTATTGGAATTTCAAGTTCAGATAAATTAACTAATGTTTTAAATGAAAGATTATCCATAATCCCTACAAAAACAATCATTGCAACAGATCTACTTATTTACGCAATTCAACAAAAAGATGATCAAGTGGAATTTAGGAACAGAATATTACAGAAATTGCCATATTTAAACTGCTAACTAACATTTCCATTGTTGCTCTGGTTAATTTGTAAAACCTCACTGCAGGCATTTGCTCCAATTTCAGTTTATTTAGAATTTTTGGAGAACACCAAATTTTAATACTTTAATCTTTTAAAATTGGATCCACTCCGGAGGTCACCAAGGGGTGTAATCCATGTAATAAGGAAGTAAAAGGTAAGTAGGAAAGTTTACATAGAAGTGTTATATTTCTCATCTAGGATTAGGCAGATATTTGAAGAATTGGAATGAAAAGCCTGATCTTGGGAATTCTAGGTTAATTTCTTTGACATCACTAATGGATTTTTTTTTTAGGTTTTCACCAAATTAATAGATGAGATAATTTCACTTGCTACTTTGCATTCTGACTTTCAAATATATTTTGTGGCGGAACATTAAATGATAATGCAGAGCAAGCAGGGATTGGATTGGCAATTTGGGGAAAAAAACAACAGCACAGATTTGATAGATTATTAGCACCATTCTGTGCTGTAATATTCTACAAATAGATTGTTAGAAAGGGAAGAGTTTATGGAATTAGGATGTATCAGTAAAGTGCACCAAGAGCTTGGCAATCAATGTAGAGTGGAGAATAATTATAAATGCACATAATTCAAACTGGCAAAAGTGACTGGTGATAATCCTCAGGGATCACACTATTACTTTTCAGTCAACAACCTACATGAGGAAGATCAAAAGCACAATTATCAAGTGGTCTGATAACACAAAATTGTGCATGGTATCGAAATCTGTATATGAAATAACAGATACTCAAAGGGATCTTGGAAGGCTCAGAGGTTGTCTTAAGAATTGACAAGTGGTATTTATCAAGGATGCAAAATAATTGTACAGCTGATAAAGAACATTATTTTTTATTACAAGATTAATAGTTGTTGTCTAAATCAAACAGAGCATAAACAGATTTGGGAGTTGGTATTATAACAGTATACAGTCAGTTGGTATTACAACAGTATAAACAAGACAAGAGGAATCTAAGGGTTCATTTCTGGAAGCTTGAAAAGCATTCTGTAGAAGTCTGATGATTTTTTTTTACTTCTCTATAGATGTTAGTATTGCAGCGCTAATCTACTCGGCAGAATGAGTTTTGTGCACTGAATAACCTTTTCTAGTTGCATGGACTCTTAATCATGTCATTCTCTACAGAAAGTTGCCCTCACTGTAAATATTAAAGAAATGTTGGTTTGAATTCAAGAAAACAGCATCTATATTTTATTAAAGCTTGTGCTATAAAGGGAATACTTGATAGCAAACAGCTGTGTACAAGATTTCTGCCACTTCATTCATGGAATGAAAACCATTCACATCCCTTTCTCTATCAGATAACCTTGATATATCTCAAAGGGCACGAAACTGTCCGTAAGGGATTATAAATTAGCTGCCTCCATCAATTAGTATGGAGTAAATAACATGTTGATACTGTATCTGGAAGGCATGTGCCACACTAAATATTATCTAAATATCAAAATGTAGTATATTAATGACTGTCAATTTGAGTTCTAATAAAATGATATGAAAAACACCTTATTCTAACAGCGTGAAATGTTAAAGTCAAAGTTTTGGTTATTTTTATTAAAATTTACTTTTTAAAACCATTGAATAAATGCAATAGACAGCGAATAACAAGCTATCGAGGTAATTCATTTCAAGGAAAATCTTAAGATACTTATGGGAGCAACTCCTGTAAGATATGAAATCTTCCTTATTCATGCTACATGATAATCTGTTTATTACATATCACTGATGTGTTTCTTCTATTTATTATACTGTCGTTATGCTACCCAATTTCCATTTAATGTGTTTTTTTTACACAAAATCAACATAAAGAGTGTGGTATAATTCTAGCTTGGAGATTCCAATTCTGAGGTGCTTAGGAAGTTGTTTTGTATCACTTCCCCTTTGAATCATCTATAAAATAACTCCTCGCTGACTGCAACCGATGTGGAAGATGACTTTAAATTCATAAACTGTAAATTTAACAGTTACTGATCATCGTTGATGCCATCCTTAAGCTTTTTAACATTATTAGAGAGTCGACCACACTTAATAATTTTTAAAATTAACCGGCATTGGGTATTGATTCGCAGAGCTCCACATATACTCTTGGGTGTGCATGGCAGAGATTTCTTTGACATATCCCCAGATGAGAGCAATTCATAGCTGGTGATATAGTTCTCTGCCAGCTCCGAACTGCTCCATTTCAGGCACTGCATCAAATCGGTGTGTGCTGCAGCATTTAAATAGAAAGAGTTTGACTATTTGACCTATTTTTTTTTAAAAAAAAATGAGGATTACTAAAGGAAGAAAGTTAGAAAGTGTAACTCCACAATTTTGTGTTGTTTTCTCCATGTCAGTGTACGACTCAGATTTCTTTGTTTATTGAGTGCTCTGACATCATCAGGAGTACTGGCCTGGAAAAACTGTAGACTCCAGGAGTGACAGTGAATTTACATTAAGGATTGGTAACTGAAGCACCGTAGGGTTAATGATTGCATCTCTACCGCTGTCCATTCAATTCAATGCAATGCTACCCCAGAACTAACTGTGAGCTCAAAGTCCCTACATGGTGCTCGACCCCACAACTTTCTGACTCACAGGTGAAAGTGTTACCAACTGAGCCAGGCTGACACTGTTCAACTATTAAAATGTTTTCAAAAGTATTGAAAGCAAAAAAAAAAGTGAATATAATGCACAGTTCTTCATAAGTTGAATTTTTAAATGAAGTATATACTGATAAGAATGTATCTCTTAACTGATACCATCAAAATGACATCCAGGGTGGTCCACCGTGCAACCCATTAATCCACATCTCAGTGAAACCATTGCATTCTATCATATTATATGTAAAAAACAGCTTTGGAGTCTATCCATTGGATGGTGCATTCTTATCATTATTTGTTGTATATTTGATGAGATATATTGTCAAATGATAGAGATACAACAACCGCGTTGAGTGTCGAAACACTTCCAAACGTCCAAGTTGCAACATTGAATTAATTTGTTTCTGAAACTTGATGCCACTATCATTACGATTGTGAAGATGGGGACTAATAACTATTAAATAAACACGTGTGGAGTCTTGTTATTTAAAGGAACGGTGCGGTGCAATCCTGGTCATCTTTGGAGGAGAATTACGCACCAGAGTTACTTACCGAAGCTGTGCTTTATTAGATGAAAGTCACCAACTTCTCATCTTCTACCCCACTCGCTCTGCAACGAGGAAGTGAGTAGAGGGTTTATTGGGTGTATTGCTGGATCGCTGTCGCTCTTTTGAGAATATTTCATCACATTCAGAAATACAATGGTGACTGCAAAGAAGTGTGAAAGAACCGGTCCCCACGAAACTAAAAAACAATGCAGCGAGAACTGCAGGTGAGCGCTCATCTTGTACCCGATTAACTTCTGGCACAAATGAAACAGGAAAAGGCGACGATTGCAATTGCCTTATATACTCCGAACGTTAAAATAAGTCATACTTTTGTTTCGATGCAACCAGAGGGCGCGCGGGCTTTTTCGTGCATTGGTGCAAAACGATCATTTCCAACGGGTTCGTGGCTCTCTCTCCACGTACCAACAAGAAAAACCCGCGTTGACATTTTTCCAATGCTAGAAACACAGTTTTACTATCTGCATTTCTTTGTTCCCGTCGTTTCGAAACCTATTGAGTATTCCGCTGTCCTGTGTGTCGTTACACACATTGCTATCTTTTGTGTTCATGGTCTTAGGCTCTGCACTGCAACAGAAAAACGTTGCAGTGGATTAAACGGAACGGAACAGATATGCAATCTCTTTTTTTTATTATTGCACGACGTGAATTGAATGGTCGAAGCAACTTTCTTTTTTGTTGGGGGGCTGGGGAGGGGTGGCGTTTTCATTACAGGGCGCATTTTCCCCTCTCGATTCGAAGCGATCTGTCTTGTTCCTTGTGCTGATGCAAGTTCTCCACAAATAACAAATAAGGAAACGGGTGTAACCTTCGCCTTTGGACATGAATGCATTGAGATGGCGCAAAATTAATACCGACCCGGAGCGCCTAATATTCTCGGAATTGAATTTTTTTTGCCCCCCAAAAAAAAAAGAATCTATCCAACAAAGGTGTCAGGTTTCATTGCACGTGGCGGTGAAATTACATGTCAGGTGGGAGGTGTGTTTTTTTTGTTCGGTTGGTGAGATGTTAATCTTATTGTACGTCCCGTTACCACCGTTCCCTTCAGAAACAAACATTTACGATTTGAGTTCAAATCGAATGAGCAAAATGGGTCAAAGAAAAAAAAGAGTGACGTTATCCCGAGGAGGGGAGGGGGGGACGGGGGGACTGACTCCTGTTGCAGTGTAAAGTGTAATGCAAATAAATGGTAGTTGCAGCTGACTGTTGGCAGATAAATCCAAGTGCAAATGCGGTGCGAGTGACTCTGCGATGTTTCAGTGAAACTTTCAACGCTGACTGCCCTCGTCGGCACTTTACGTGCAAGAACCTATCGGTTCGTACGAATTGATCCCTCTGGAATAAAACTTTTTTTTCTCTCTGATGCATTACAACGCCCTGACCCCCCCCCCCGCCCCCCGCCCGCCCGCCTGCAACAAGTGGCGCTCACTCGGTTTGGATACTCTTTAACATGAAACCAGGTGATTGGTTTCAGCACGTGCCCTGCCCATCCCGACACAGCTGACACACATCCCAACCACACACACACACACCCACCCACCACCACACACCACACACCGAAACTAAATCAGGAACACGAAACATTCACCGGGCGTCGAGAAACAAAACACAGCCCCATCGTCGAATGGTCCAAACGATGCCATTTGCATTCGCCCGGACCCGATTCCTACCGTCGCACATCACATTTGCTGGGAATGCAATCGCGCATGAGCCGCGGGACGAATGGGATGTGCGTTATATTATGCACAGCAGTGGGTGGGTGGGGGGTGACAACCAGCGCCCAACTTTATGGTAACATCAATCAAGGACCGGGCACGGGCGCTGCACGCGCCAGATGACACCCCCCCCCCCCCGCCCCTCCGCCCCTCCGTGACAGTTACATCTCCTGAACCACAATCCAACCGCCTTCTTCCAAGTACCAAACCTCGTCCGCTCATTCCCTGCAGGAATTGCGCGCGCGCGCTCGCTCGCGTATGTCTGCGCGTGTGTGTGTGTGTGTGTGTTTGTTTTTAAATGTTGTTTTCCTGCCCGAAAAGCGGGTTCGGGGTCGGTTGCAGCTCGAGAGAACCCGGCGCGGGGCGACCGTCCCGTCCCGTCCCGTGCGCGCAGAACGCTCGGTTGGGGAGTCGCCGGATCGGACAAGTTGCGATCCACCGGGAAATCGGCTCCAAACGGTTTTGACGTACAACCCCCAAATCATCGCACAATTTCCCCGCAGCGCGGCGGTTCGCATTCACGTCGCTGCGCTTCACCCCTGAGCCATCAGCGTAACGGGGCAGCGCCGCACTCGGCAGAAAGCTCTCACAGGTGGTCAAGGCGGTGCGCGGGGGAGGGAGGGAGGGAGGGAGGGGGGACTTGGACGCGAACGCGCAGCGGTGGGGGGGTTCGGGTACGCGCGGCGGGTCTCGGGCACGCGCACCGCCGGCTTACAGCCACAATAGAAAAAAACAGCCAACCCCCCCCCCCCCCCCACTCCGCTCCCCCAATAATAATAATAATAATAATCTTTGCATTTGATATAAACCCCGGTTTATGTTTTTTTTACCACCGCAGATACGACACGGCCAGGCCGGGCCGGGCCTTGACAAGCGGCGTCTAAAACAAGTTCTTTAAAATAATATATATATGTGTATATGTATATATATGTATATATGTGTGTGTGTATACACCGAGCAGGAGCCGTTTGTTTAAAACAACAAAGAGACAATTCCCTTTCATGTCACTATTTTCCTTTCTTATATATATATATATATATAGGAGAGAAGAGGGAATGCTGTGTGTGTGTGTGTGTGTGTGTTATCTGTTACACCACAGAGAAACTGAGTCTCTTGACACCTGAGGTTATGACACCAGACTTGATCTCGGGCCCGAAATTAAAATACATTGTACAGCCCCAAAAGTCAACCAAACAGAGTACAAAGCCCCCTCTCCCCCCAATACCACCCACACACACACACACACACACAAAAAGCCCAGTGTTGTACATTGCCTACTTTGGGGTAACAGAGTGGCCGATTTAGGCTGCAGTGGGTTTTGAAATTCTGCAAAGAAAAGGGGTCTTCAAATGGAGGGAGGGAGGGAGGGAGGGAGGGGAGAGAAAATAAAACATTTTCTGCAGATTTAATTCTTTTTTAAATCAAGGCCGTTTTTTTTCTGCACGCGCACTGAAGTCCCAGCACAAACACCGCCCAAATCGGGCGTGAAAGCCGCCCAATCTGGTAACACTGACGCCCAATCTCCAGCTCCTCTCGCTCTCTCTCTCGCTCTCTCTCTCTGCTCCCCCCCCCCCGTTCAAAAAAAAACGTTCGGATCCCAACGGTCGGGAAAGTCGTGCGCGCGCATGGCGTGACGTACCCCCCCCCGGATTCACACGCACACACACACACACACAGACGCACGCGCGCGCGCGCGAGAGAGACAGAGAGCGAGCGAAGCGCGAGGCGGGGGAGCGGGGCGTCGCGATTGGCCGCCAAAGCGCCGGGCGCCAGAATTGCTATTAAGCGTCAACGAACCGGCAGCGAGCGATAGCGAGCTCGTCAGCTTCCAGTCCCAGGGTAAGTTGGGGCTTCACTTTCTCCGGCCAAATTGCAGCAAGTTTGATAACCGTCTTCCAATCCTCTTCCCCTTCCCCCTGTTTCACCGGATCGGCGTGTCGTTTTCCACCGTTTAAAAGCTGCGTGCGTCGCAGTTGCCGAATAGACATCTCTCTTCTCTCTCTCGCTCTCTCCCCCTCTCTCTCTCTCTCTCTCTGTGTGTGTGTGTGTATATATATATATTATATATTCAAAAAAAAACAAAAATAAAGGGCAGCCCACCCTCACGGAGTGGAAGTTATCACTAATGGGATTGAAGTTCAACTTGCTACTCAAGAGGAAACTGCAGTTCACTGAGACGCAACCGTGGAGCTGGCCGTTGGAGACCCGAGCGCGGGGATGATCAGGATTTTCCCGGATTTCAGTGTGCAAGTAACGGCAGCAACTGGTGGGGGAGGCGCCGCGGTTACTGCTGCACCTGGAGTGGGGAGACCCGCCGCCGCAGCTGCTAATGGGACGCCCCAAAACGTGGGGCTCACATCTTACCAACAACGGTAAGGGTCTCCGGCTCGAATATTCTGTCATATTCTCGCCGCACTTGGTAAATTCCTCAGATTGCATGCACTCAACACGGGTTTTCTTAATTCCCTCCCCCACCCCTCCTCAATATTTATAGGACTGTTTGACATCTGGTTTTCCAAACCATTTTTTTAAAAATAAAATGTTTTTTTTTAAGATTCATTTGCGGATCGCGATGGGGTTTGGGTTAAATTGGGACCGATTGCCACATGTTACCTATGATAAGCAATGCACGAAAGTTAATGTTGAAATATTACAACCAACATGTGGCAGAAACGCGTTGAACGTTTTGCAGCTCGTCTCAGCAGTTTGGGAAGAAACGCGGTGCCTTCTGCAAACATTAAATATTTGACAAAAAAAAGTCTCCTATTAATAGGGGGGGAGGGGAAGCTGTAAATATACCTGAGTGCAGGAATGGAAGACGAGAAGCAACCATGTAGGCAGATGCGCTAAACGAAACGCTCCTGAACTCGAGGCCCAGTTCTTATAACCAAAATAATTTTATCCGCTCCGTGTGACCCATTAGTTTTTTTAAAAAATAGCCAGAAACCTTGATGAAACTATCGTTGACTGTTTATTTCTACGGCAACTGTGCTTGCTAATAGCAGTATCCCTTGTATCTGCCAATTTCAAATCTAAAGATCAACGTTATTTATCTGCATGGGATACACCAAAATCATTCTTGCACTATTGCTATTTTCCTGGGGTGGGGGGTGAAAGGTGATTGCTCTGAAACGGTGCTACTTTAAATCTCTTTACTAGGAAGGATTGAGCTAAATGTTTCCTTTCTTCAAACAGGTTATTTGGAAACGTAGCTGTTTATTTACTTTGTAATGTACAAAAGAAATGTTATTCTTAAAATAACATAAACAAATTAGTCAGTTTCGTAAACCAACCGCGGGACAAACATGTCACCCAACTGATGTACTGAAATAAAATATAAACAATCAGAAAGATGTAAACAATAAAACTATGTAGATAGCGGTCTCAAAATATGCAATGTATAACTAGGATAGTGGAATTTGAAGGCTAATAAGTTTTTCTAAACTCATAAGTGAGATGATCTTAGACATTCCCGCAATTTGTGGATTAAAGGTATTCAATATACTTTTATAATTCGAAACTATTCAATATTTTTGAAAATTTTTGAGAATGGTAATTAGCACTTAGCTGTGCAAGCAACAGCGGCGACATCGTCAACAAAGTCATGAATAACTACATCTAGGTTTTTAACAATTTACGTATTTCTTGTTTGAAAACAGGAACAAATGGTAAGAGCGACAGGAACAACAATGTTATGTAATCACAAGACCATTCGAACAAAAAAAAAGTATCTGCACTGTAATTCTTTTTTAACCAGCAAATTGTAGAGTAGAATAATTATAACCAAGAATCCCACACCATAGTACTTTTAGGAGGAGTAAGGGCTCTAAATAGGCTTGACTGCCATTTCGGTAACACATAGGAAACAATCACAATGTGAATGGATTTTTTTCGCATTTTATGGCGCTAGATTATTGTGATTTGTAACTAACGCAAACATGATATCTCATCACATAGTACTCGATTGTTTAAACGAATAGAAAGTTACCAAAATGAATATTAGTGCGTGTCATTGACACATAATCTTAACTTTCATTGTTCAAGCATTGATTTTTGCTCAGCAAAATGTGAGGCTCTTGTGCTGGAACAAATACCGTATCGCAACTTAGTGTTGTAATGAGTACCATACCAACCCAAGTAAGTTACGACACTTCTCAAAATTGGGTCAAGGTGCTGTGTTTCTTAAATGCATTTAAAAACCGTTCCGTTTTTTAATCAAAACAGAAATACACAACATTTAAGACTATTCTTGTGTACTTTTTTTCCAAAAAAAAAAGTCCTGTAGCAATTTTCCAACTCTCGGACCAGATATCAGCTGAATAACCTGTTACTTCATAGCCAAGGATTTGTAATGCATTTTAGTAATCTGTTCCTGCAATTTATTTTTGGTCATCGCCAAATGCCCATCTATGGTTTTGTAGCGATGATGACAGTTTTAATTAGATTGCTGCATTTTGTATAATCGCACGTGATTAGAAAACTGCACTTTAAAGTACCTGTCACACTTTAAATCAAAATGAAACGTCCTCGTTTTGCGCGAGTGACGGTAACATTTAGATGACACTTATATTGAAACACGCTTCAGATTTATTGATGTTGATTGCTTGCAGAATATTTTGCCAAAACATTCAAAGGAAGTTACAAAACATGGAACATCTCTAGATAAATATTTTATAAAACATGTCATTCCTACTGTGATCCGCAGGACACCATTCATCCTGTGGTATCTGGCTTGCGGATGCTTTAGTAAATCATTGACAAAAGGAAATCTAGGTTTTAATAATAATAATCATTTTGCCAGGAAGTATGTTTTTAAGGAAACCCTACAATAATCACTGGGACATATGCCAGGAGGCTTAGGTGACATTTACAAACGGAATAGGGCTTACATTCATCAAGATCACATAGCATTTTTTTTCCTAAATAAGATCATTAGTGTTTTGAATGTCCACGTATCTCTTAACGTTGCACAATAAAATCGAAGCCTTTAAAACCCGGTTGCTCAGATGCCATCAGTAATGTGACTGTATTATAGCAGAACTCAGCTATTCCTCATAAAGTGAATGAAATAACAACTGAGTGGCGTAGTTGCACCAGTTACAGCAATGTGTCCCTGGAAAGAGAGAGGGAGAGAGAGAGAGAGGGAGGGAGCGAGCGGCGAGAGAGAGAGAGAGAGAGAGCACACACACACACACACACAGCGAGCGGAACATCAGCGCTGAAAATCTACTAAGACTTTCTCCGGCAAAGGGAATCGAAGGCTCTCCGCGAAAGTGTGCAGTGGTACGATGGTGTTGGTCGCTGTTTGCCGGCTCGCACTCGCAGCTGTAGTACCGTGCTATGTTTCTCGGATTATCTGAGGTGCAGCCAAGTCTCTCTTTACTTTTCTTGGCATGCTGCTCGGCCCCGACTCGTGCTCTCTACACCGCGCTCCTCACTTCTCCTCCTCTCTGATGGCTGGTAATTCCGGGGCCAGACAGTTAGACTGGACTTAACCGTAACTCCGCAATGGCTTTCCTCAAATAGTACTCGAGCCGTTCCGCAGCACCGCCGGGCCCCATCTTAGTGGGGAGGGAGGTGGTGGTGGTGGTGGTGGGGGGGGGGGAGGCGGGAGAAGAGAAAAAACCACACAAAAAAAACCAAACAAAAAAAAAAGCAAAGTAACGGCTGACGAGAAAAATGGCGCCCACCAAGCAAGGCTTCCAGCACGACCCTTCAAGACGTGAACGGTAACGACAGCTGTTTTGGGATGTGATTCTGCATATTCGTGTGTTGCCATGGTACTTTGTTCGGAGTTTGGCTTGACCTGCCAGCTACCGAGTGCCGCCGCAACCCCTTTCTTCCTCTCTCTCTCTCTCCCCCCCCCCCCCCCCTGCCAGGAGCCGGGTAAATAGACGGCCATTCGCCCGCTCGTCCCTGTCAGGACCCGCCGTTGCGAACAGTCACATTTTTCATTCATAGCTTTACCTGTCCCACCTTCATTTGCAGAAGAATGCATGTCCATTCTTTGATTTTCTAAGTATTCCTTTTCATTGCATTGCAGAAACAGGGCCTATGACACTAATTGGAGAGGCCACCATTGCTCTACTGTTCGGTGTATACTAGGCCGAGCTGGAGAGAAGCTTTCCTTGACAGCAGCCTGCGATTGTAATAAGATAGTCTGAGGTTAGGTTTACAAATTTGCATAAAATAGTTGCGGACTAAAAATGAACTAAACCGATGCATGTAAAAGGAAAACCTCAAATAACATTGATAAACCTACATAAATATACAGTATTAAGTTATTAAGCATCAATAATTTAAATAGGATTAAACTTTCTAAAAGATTTCTGCTCTCCAATGCTTTGCTTGGTGCAGGTAAAGTTTAAACATTGAAGTTAACATAAACTAAATATTGGTCTTGTGGTGCATAAAATATAAAAACTGGGCCTTGACATTAAAACAAACGCAATTTTGATTCAGATGAAACGCTAAATTATATGCTTCAATTTCTTCCATTAGCTGTGTGCAGTCTGCAACAGAGCTATTTTATTTGGGCATAATGGTCATTGTTGCTGAACAAAATCAGCCATGTCATAAATTTCAAGAGGAGGGCAGTGTATGTGGGTTAATCTTCACATTTTTAAAAAGTATGTGTCATACATTGTACTAGCGGTAGCCCTTCTGAAGAACTCAAAAGTTTTTCTGTTAATTTTTTCTGCTTTATTCAGAGGACCTTCATTCTGCTACCAAGCCTCAGTCATGCCAAGGTATGAAATGTATGGTTATTGGAGGATTTGCTTAAAACAGTTATCAGCATCACAGCAGTGAAATATGCCAGTTTCATAAAGGTTTACGTTTTACATTGGTGTGTGTATATACTTTTAATAATGGAATTTGAGGAATATTAATGTAGCCTGAAATAGGGTTGTCATACTATGACAAAACATGAATAACTATATTTTAACAAGTAAGATACAGCTTAATTATATTTTATTGTGGTCCAACCCAAAATGATTACCAAATAGTGTAAAGATAAGTTCACAAGAAAGCTTTTATTTACCCCAAATTAAGTGAAGAATCAGAAAAGAATGAAATGAATATGGCATAAAATATTATGATTTAGTGACATCTTACTATTTATTAAGAAAACATCAAACTCAATTTGTTAAAAAAGTTGCGGTCAATTGTATATATTTGGTATTTAATGTTCAATTTAGATTTGAAAAAGCTCCAGTATGACAGTGAAGCTTATTCCAAGTGTGCCTTTTTCTTCTGCTGAAGTAGTATTATAGTAAGTGCATTCATGGTAAGGCAGCATTAGTAATCTTCCTGGCTGAGCAGAGGAGTATATTTTCATGCCATTCTGGAAATTTATCAGAGATCAGAATCTTCAAGATGGAATTAATTTAGAGGAGAAACTTCATAGCTTGTGCATAAGTGCTTTCTTTATCACCTGTCTCCATTTGGCATTCTGAGAGGGTAAATCAAAGTGTGTGATTTGTTATTCTGCTCCACTTGAGAGTGGAACTAAATAACACTTGGTCAGAATTTCTGATAGAAGTTGTAGGAAGATATATTTAATTTGATGCTTCTTAATAGGTTCTTCTTTCTTTGCAGTGATGCTGTCATTTTGAAAGCTGGTGTGAATGATTTTGCTCATCAGGCAGGGAAGAAGTAATTATTCAAAATGAAATGGGGCTTGACTGGGATCACGGAGCTGTTAGTAGCCGTAGATTTTATTTGAATTGTGGTTTAGTGCTCATATGTAAAAAGGACAAAGTGAATATGTTTTCATTCTTTACTTTTTCAGCATTTGTAACTTAATTTTGGATATTCTCGAACTTGACTCACCTGGCTAGGAAGGTCATTGTATTTGTCTTACAAGTATGCATTCTGTTTAATAATTGTTCATGATGTCCACCGAGAATGTGCAATTACCAAGTTTTGAAGTATAAAATACTTCACATTTTCTTGTGAGTGTTCTTTTTTCTTGTTGTTTTGAAATTAAATAACTAAAAGTAAATTGTGATGCTTTAGATGAATGTTTTTGTTTTGAATGCAGAATGTTTCTTGTTTACCATGAAAATTGACAGTGATTTGATCAAATTGTTTTCTGACAAATGTCTTAGATTGAATGCTTGAGATACTCAAAACATCCCAATTGTTCATTGATTTTGCAAGTTCCTTAAAAGTATTTGTAGTTTTTTTTAAAAAAAGGTGTACCAGGACTGCATCTGTCACATGGCTAAATTGCAGACATTTTTCATGGCATCTCATAGTTTATCCTAAATGTTTGTTTTTTTGCAAAATAGACTTTTTTTAAAAATTAAACTTTAGTTCATTTTTTAAAAAAAAGTCATTTCTTAAAGTGGGTATCTGTTTTGTGCTTTACATCAAAGAGCACTGATACTGTACTAAACTTGTTTACAAATGATCTTAAAATCCTTGGCAGAAAAAAAAGTGGTGCATCTTTGACTGATGTGACTCCAAGCGAGCTGCACTTTCTGATCAACCTAGGATCTGCCCTTTCTCTTCTGTTCCAAAGAGAAGCTGGAGATATTGAAAGAATTGTGCATTGCTTGTTTGTCACTTTTGTTTTTGGGTGAATACCTGTACACCAGAATTTCTCAAACCACAACTCCTCTAAAGTTTCAGTGCCCTCGTCCTCAAGTTGATAACTGTTGCTGTTGGGTTGTTTCATATTGGAGTTAGCATTGCTGAACCCCAAACTGTGCTATTCTCTGTGTGAATGAGAGGCAAGCATGGTTTCCTTGGAGCTTAACTGGCATATTTGGCAACACATTGTCAGAATCGAGCCAACCCTCTATGGTGGTTTTGGTAATCCAGTTCCTGAGCCAGGTGGGTCCACAGTACTCCAGGTCATTGGTGATGACAGCCAGCCTTGGAAAGGTCTTGGAAAGGCAGACCAGTCACTGGTGGCAGGGACCTTTGCCACTTATCTCCTGTTTACACTGCAAGCCAAAACCCTAATGGTTAGGGTGGTCCTAGCTGAACAAGTGGCAGGAAAGCTTCCCAGACAGTGCTTTCAATGGCATACAATGCAGTTTTAGCTGGTTAGAATCCAGCACTTCCTCAGCGTACGGTCTTTGGTCCCCAAGCCTTGGCTCTTGCCAACCTGTACCTAATACATTCCAGAAATTGGACAAGCAGTATGCATTCCTCCATGGAGAGAATGCACATTCCATTCTAATAAATCTCTCTGGAAAATTGTCCATGTATAGTTGGGGTGCGTAGAACTCTGTTTGGTTTGGATACTCTTGAGCATGGTGATGGGTTGCCTATGTCAAGACATCAGGCTAACCAAAAAATAAAATTTTGTTCATATTTAACCATAATTTATTGTATTTCAACGGGTTAGATATTCCTATCTATCAATTTTACTTCAGTTTGATCAGTACTCTTGAAGTTTGATTGGACTTCATTCTGTACATGTACCACTTAAGATGTGCCATTTTGTACCATGATAATTGTAGAATGAGTTCACTATCTGCAATAAAATCTTTGTTCTCTACACTCATTTTAAATTACTTATTTGGGGCTTCCTTTGCTATTCAAAGATGTGAGGGCATGTAGGTACTTTCTTCCATGACCTGTACATAAGCTACTTGTGATCCAGCTGGGAGGTGGATGAGTTCAGCTTGGAATGTCATGGTTTTCTGGCTTTGTCCCTTTGGGACTTATCTGAGTACCTCCTGTCAGTGGCATGTCTGAGATTGGAATTTTATCACATGGGAAAATTGCTGAAATGAATCAATACTTACCAGTCCATGACTGTGTGCTTGTATAAGCGTACAAATTATTTTGATAGAGCTAAGTGTCAGCTTGGCTAAGTTGGTGGCACTCTTGCCCCTGGGTCATTAGGTTGTGGGTTTTACATCAAGGCTTGAGTTCAGAAAGTGGCACCTTCAAGCTTTCAGGCACTTGACATCATAGACCAGGATAACATTCTAATGAAATACTGGGAGGATGTAACATCATCAGAGATGGTGTTCTTTGGTTCAGATGTTAAATTGAGGGCCTATGCACCTGTTCAGGTGGATTTTGCAATTCCCATGGCACTTTATCCTTCAGACAATGTCCAGAACATTTGGTCATGTATATCATGAGTATACAAAAATGACAATACAAAATTACATTTGTATAGTGCCTTTCATGTCAGGTGGATGTCCCAAGGCACTGGACAGTCAGGGATTTGGACCTGAGCTTGGGTAGGTGGGGTGTTGGGATAAGGGAGGGTAGGAGGGAGCCTGGTGCAGGAGAGTTCAGAGTTCTGGATGATCTGCAGCTTGTGGAGGGAAGAGATGGGAAGGCTAACAAGCAGGGAGTTGGCATAGTCGAGCCTAGATGTGATGAATGAGGATTTCGGCAGCTTGAGGGGGTGATGAAGTGGCAGAGCCTGTGATGTTGCGGAGTTGACAGAATGCAGAGTGAGTCATGGCATGGATGTGGGGGAGAAAGGATAGTTGAGGGTCAAACAAGATGCCCAGGTTCCTGACTGGCTTGGTGAGGTGGAGTGTGAGTCCATGGATGGTGATGCTGCCAGTGCCTGAGGTAGAAGTGCTGACGGGAGCCAATCAGGAGAGTCTTGGTCTTGTTGACATTCAACTGTAGAAAGTTAGTTCTCATCCAGGACTTGATGTCTGACAGACATTCTGTCAGGGCAGCAGTGATCCTAGCGTCGAGGGTGGAGGCAGAGAGATAGTTGGGTGTCATCCGCATACATGTGGAAGTTGACCCCATGTCTGTGGATGATATGACCAAGAGGGAACATGTACAAGTTGAAGAAGAGAGGATCAAGGACAGAGCCCTGAGGAACACTGCACAAGACAGTGTGGGGGCCGGAGGAGAAATTGTTCGTGACAAAGTGGAGACGGTGTGAGAGGTAGGATCTGAACTATTCAAGGACAGAACCATGAAAGTTGAGGTGAGAGTGAGGCAGTGGAGGAGGATAGTGTGGTCAACTGTATCAATTACTGTTTGTGACCTTGAGGTGCTCCAAATACAGTCATTACACTTAACAGCAATTACCTGCAAAACACAGATGTTTTGATGTTACAGATGCTGAATCAAAATTAAGAATTATTTTTTATGTATAATAATGGAGGAATGTAACCATAGGTCATTATTTCTATAGTGTTCACAAATACTGAGAAATATGTTTTTAAATGTGGTATTTTTAGGGAAACGAGATGTGACCTCGACATGTTTCTCCTATTTCAGTATTCATATTAACTATTGTGCAGACAGGATATAATCATAATGTTTTCAAATACAAATAGAGGTACAATATTGTTGTGTAATGTTAATGTAACCTTTAAAATTGACAAAATGTTTACATTAATGAAAAGGGATTTTTTTTAAATGCATGGCTGTGTTAAAGGTTTTGATGAACTTCAGGATCTTGTAGTTTTTACAGTCCTTGATGCCCTTAGTAAAATATGAAATGGATGGAGTAAAAAGGTAAGGGAACAAAAATCAACGCAACACTGTGGTATACTAAACTTGAAGAAAAAGCAGGGAGTCTGGAGATCAGTGCTTTATCTCTAGGACTAATAATGAACTTGCAATGTTCTGTCCTAATTCAGTAACCCATTATAATAATGCTCCACCTGTTTTTTCTTGCATTGATGCTTTGCTTGTATGTTCTCTAGGTTTGCACTGATTCTTTTCCTGTGACCTTGAGCAATTTCCTCTGCAGTAATCGGAAAGAAAATTTATTGAATGAATGGAAGAAAGATTAGGCCCA